AAATTACTTATATTTCCTTCAACTCAACTTGATGGTAAATCCTCATTAAGCAACCTCTAAATGTGAACCAGAATTACGGGTGCCGCCCAACTGATTCGCTTCGCAAGAAAAATAAAATATGGAGAACTGACCGCCAGCCTTCGCTAGTCGGAGAGACATCTCAAAAAGAAAAAGAAGAAAATTATAAGCAGATAGAAAGATGTCAACTGACCACAAGTATTTACTACAATGATGTCTTACTATACATTATGTTCTATGCGCTTAGTACTTATATAATGCACGTCGTCGAAGCCCAGCAACAAAATGTGTAGTGAGGCGTAAAGAAATTTCCCGACTGAATTATCTTTTCGTATAAAGAATGTTCCTTTATCCCTAAAGACATAAAACTATCTCCATTTCAAGAAATTCACTATTCCTCGAAGTCGGCAACAACGAACAAAGTATCAGCCGAGTTTTGTAGCAACTTCTATGAGCTTTATATCCCAAGTTTATCGTTACATCATCGAGAGAGAACTTTTGTTAAATTCATTGTGACAAAGTTCTGAATAGTGTAAGTTATTCATTATGTCGTTTGTCCTGTTACTAAAATGATTCTAAAATAAAAGTTTTTTTAGTAATTTTGAGCATTTTTCGACTATTCCTTACGACTATGTTATAAATAAAAATAATTAACGATTTATATATAGTTCATTTTGACTTTCAAAACTGTGGGTCATGGTAAGCGGAAGTAAGGTCAGAAAAACATTAATAGACCTCGGATTGTGGGTCAATTTCACCTGTCCGAAGTCACCGTGAAATTAGTCCTGTATTCCATAAGCCCTCTGTTACATTGCATGACAAAGCGGCAAGCGGCAAGCTTTTTTGGAATAGAGGTAAACCTTTTTTAAATTATTTATGGATTAAATGTATTTCGGCAAAAATAAAGTTTATAGCCGCTGTATTCAGCTCACTTTTATTCTATTATTATGCTATTCGTACAATTATGTTGTAGCTTGTACGTAGTGTGATCAAGTTAAATCAATACAAGCACAAAAGATTTCATCCAAGTATATTTATTTTATTACCAGTAGTGATTTAATTATGATTTTATAACGCACTCGCTATTTTTGTCCGCTTTATCGTTATCGCTACCGCTCATCAGTGTGATAGTTCCTTATGAAGAAACGATGAATGCAATGAGAAGTAAATAGCTTATTGTTTCGTGTAATGGAATATGTTATCGATAGCGGTTTGATGTCGACACCCGCCGTCACGCACCATCGCAGTCGTAGCTGACGGATACGTTGGGAGTTGGGGTGCTTGTATAAGCCCAAAATTGAACTTTCAATATCCATTACAATTATAAACATTATGCATTATATAAATTTTTATTGTAAAGTTATTAAATGCCCCAAAATATTGACTCAATGTCGACAAACTTAATGGCTTGTGGGCTTTATCGACCGTGCAACCATAGTCGCAATCAAATAACATACCTAACCTACAACCTAATGTAACGATACCAAAATAAAAATAACAATTAATTTAAATTAAATAACCAGCATTAAATAGTTATGCTAGTAGACGCCTACCATAACATTTAAACCTAAATAATTTTCTTCTCTTCTTTTGCACGATCGCAGTTCTGTCCTAGCACACTTTTTATTTTTTCAATGCACTCTTAACATTGCCTTATGTTTGTCACTTTTATAACATTTTCTTGCTGAATATCCGTGAGTATTTTCGATGTTTTAATTTCACAATCAGCTGCTGTGTGTGTGTGTGTGTGTGTGCGTTGAACCATGCGCCTATCAATTATATAATAAATACAACAACACAAGGGTTATCTATAGAATTATGAATTATGTGCTCCGCTGCGTCTCTTTGTCAGTCACGTAGGTGTGTTTGTTCGTGTGTCTGTGAGTGACTGGTATTGGCGGTATCGGGTAACGAAGCTATTTGATCTCGCCGATGCGTCTGATCTAATTGGACGAGTACATTGCCAAAGAATTAATGCGTTAAAAATTATTTGATACTTAATTCAATTGATAAGGGAAACCCTTTGTTTTGTTTTGTTTTGGAATGCTATTTTTCTTTGCAATGACAGTAACCAATTCTTTAATCTACTTTATAAACAGTATTATAAAACAATATCCGTAACCGCGTGTATAACTTTTTAATACATCATGAAATTGAATCGTTATAAAGGTAAGGTTTGTAATTACAAAACCAGAAGTTTGTTAGAATTTGATTGGCGCGTATAATATCAACGTGGAGAAACCCTCGTCACGTGCCGCCTCCTCACCCTCGCCCGAGTACATTCATAACAGGTACTATATCTAGTGTTGTGACTCTTAATTAATTTCATGATGATATCAATAAAGCAGGTCGGCAGTAATATCCTATGGAACACGTGATTCTTCACACTTTTACACATATCCGTTAACAGAATCTCCATAAGTGTAGGTTCTATTGGAAAAATCTACACTAAGGGTCAAATTTGCGACTCATTACATCATGCGATCCGTCACGACAACGTCAGAATGTCGGGTGGTGTAGTTAGCTGGAGATTCTCTTTGTGGCGGCCACTTCGAGTGTTTCCCTTTCATTTGCCATTTAGAAATATAAATGAAACATATTGTATGGCTTCACGGTGTTGTATGAATGATGGAGACAAAGCTTACTATTATCATGCAGTTTTGAAAAGTTCAGATAAATACTAAGTTACATAATATTTAATTTCTTTTTAATATTACAATATTTCAGATAATTAAGGTAAACAATGAAATAGCAACTGTTCATAAAATTTCTGAATTTTATGTTAAAAACATACTTTTATTAAAAAAATGCTTAATATCTTATTGAATCACTGCATACAATTTTTATTTAATTTTATATTTCCTAAACCATTTTGTAAGATGATATTCTTAAATCATGAGAAGGAACTTGAAGATTGTCCGCGGATATTATAATTTTTACGGCAAAATTTTAATTAAGGTACTTGTACCAATTTCCTGCATTAAATTCGTAGTACGTATTTAAAAGCGTAATGATTTCTCAAAGTTTTAATATTTTACGTCTACAGATTTAATTAATTTATTGCTTAATATTGAAATGTTGATTGAAAGTCGTTCGCCCTCGATTTCTGAGAGAAACGGAGACGAGATCGCGCGCCTCGCTGACACTGAACCCTTTAATAAAACGATTTAATAACATTAACAGCAAAGATAACTAAAGAAGAAAAATTACATTTTAATTAATTTGTTTTTATCAACTAAATTAAATTAACTTTTATTAATTTCAAATTGCTAAGTTTAAGAAATCCAACGAAACATTGATACTTCTTTCATTTTGTCCGTGTAATAAAGTGGGCTACATTTTTTATATTAACTAAGAGCCATTAATGTGGTAAGTAATTTAGGCTCACGTGTCAGTAGCGCTCACCAGGTGGAGCCACAAATTGATTGGGGGCTCAATGCTGCGGAAAATAAAGCCTATAACGTGTACAGGTGCGGTGGGTCGGGGTGTCGGGGGTTCGGGGGGTCGCTCGCATTTTTTACCACAAAAAAGTATATTGTTTGGTAACGGTCAAGTCGCGGCCGACCGGCTCCGGACAATTTGTCAGTCCGTCCGCTGGGAAATGTGCGATATAAAATGAGATTTCTAAATTGCGTAACTCACAGAATTCTTGTTATCAAATGTTGTGAAGGTCAGGAACATCAACCAAACAATAATATAATATGTCCAATATCAAAAGGTACTATTGAAATAAAAATATTTACTATTATATATCTTACTTTAAGATATAAAAGAATTTTTAGTAATTCCCTTATCTATTGTCAAAATAAGATGACAATGAAATCGCTGTTCACAGTTAATCATAATTTTATTACCATTGCTTTGTGAAACAAAATGTATCAGATAACATTCAAAATTCCAATAAGAATTCGGGATAAATCAAATCAAATCCCAAAAAAGTAATTTAAAAACAATCTAAATGCGAAAATTGAATTCGAGTCGAAAACGATTTCGTCTAATTTCGAGGACAAATAGCGTCCAATTCATTGTCTCGCGGCGCACGCCCTCTGCCGGCTCTGAAATTGCCACCATCGATTACGTCACGATACTATGAATCCCAAACACATTTCGAGGTAGGTACATTAAAGATTAATAATAAAAGAAACTGAAAAACGGTGCTCGTTCATTATTTATTCTTACTCAAACTCAATCGACCACACAGGGACACAATGTGTCTTGGTGTTTACTAATTTAATACTCTTGTTAAAATAAACTATCAAAACTAGTTGTTAACGACAGACTTACTAGAGAAATGCGTAATAGCAAAATATTATAGTCATCATTTGTTTTGTTTTAAATTCGCTTCGAACAAGTTACGTGAGCATGTCTTTTTCAGGCACGCAGTCGTATTGTATAACGTAGGAGGTAGACGTAGAGGCTCGTTTGCGGATATTGAGCGGCCGCTTTTATAGACATTGAATTTGTGGAACGTCTGCTATAACTTGATCCCGAGGCACGGCGATTGTTTCCCGACATCTCGTCCCGGTTGCTTTAAGGCACAGATGATGGCTTCTTTACTGCACCGACATATTGGATACCGTGTATTCATTGCCCATCTCAGTTTTATTTGTTTTTTTTTAGCGTTTACCAGATGTATTGATACTGATACTTGATGACCAAGACCAGTCTGACAAGACTGTAACAACGAAGAAGAAGAAGAATATTATGCTATTATAATATTGTTTGATCAAGCAGAATAAAAATGACAACGTAGAAAAACATATCTAAGGAAAAATTAGTCATTTCAGACAGTTGACTATCATCCGTATATTTCTGATTTATCAACACTATTAACTCACGTAATTATTGACCAGTAAAATTATGATTTTTAAACCAATAGAGGAGTTAATTTTTAAAACATAACTGTAGTGTAGTTAGTTATATAATTATAATAATAATTGGTAAACTGTTATGTAAATAAAGGTAATGTATAATGAACTTACTTTGTTTTCGTATTGCAAACATTGCGCGCACACCGGACACCGTATCCAATTCCGATCTAAACTTTGTTTAGCAAACACACTTTGAAACAAATTTAAATTTCCATTTATCAGGGATCAAACCCGATCCGTTCGTTCCGCTACCAAATGATATTGCATTCTATTGTGTAAACCATTCCCGTCTCCACACCGACCAGTGTTCTACACTCTTCTAACAACAACTGTTGACAAATATGAATTTAAATTCAATGTGTGTAGAGTTCAATTTACTAAAGCACACGTTGTCTCGAGTAAAATATATCGTGAACGATATTTACTCGCAAATTAAATTGTTTAGTTCTAGCAATAAAGTTTCAATTCGCTTGCATGGCATTTGATATGAAAACATACGGTTTGATAGCTGTGACCTATTAGGAATGACAAAACATACGGTTGTCAGCGTGATACGGGATTTATTATCGAATAGTTATTTTACGCTTTATTACTTTTCTCTACGCTCTTATAATATACAGAATAAGGTTCATTTTCTCATAATATTTGCAAGTTATAATGACAGTATTGTACTTTTATTGTCGGTGTAGCAAATAATAATTAAGGAAGCGTAACAAGACGTGACGTCAGATCTGTGCGTTACTGACGAATGCTTTGTGCACATCGAGTACTGCATGAATGCAATGAAAGGATACATTTGCATGATTCTGTCATTACAATGCCACCGCGTAGTGTTAGCACGTTTCATTATATGTCATTGTCTCCATAGCTGTTACCACTTCATTGTCTGAATATCATACTTACAATGTCATGGTAAACAATTCAATGTAAACAAGCACCAATGAATTTCTTTTTATTTTTGTGAAAAATGAAATACTAGAGCAACCATAGTTAGCAGTTTAGAAATAGCTATTTTGTCAAATATCTACCCGATAGATGGCGTTGTTTCTTTTTCAAGCCTTGAATCGCGACGTCTGTGATGTCATAAAACAGATTGGGTAGTACTGAATGACCTATGATACATCCCCCCACCCCCACTCACCACCCTCACTCGTTAGCCGGGACATCGCTTCAGCAAATAAATCACAAACAACGACTCGCCGACAGATCGCAGTTCGGACGTAAAGAACTCGCTGATGAAAAACAAATTCCACATTCAAAATGGCTTTCCGAACTCAAACAGATACCAATGAAAATCGGACGCGTGGCGTTTTATGGCCTCTTCTAGATGAAAATGTAATCAATAAATACTTTATCAATCAAATACAAACTTTACTGTAAGCCAATAAGAGTTGTATTGCAAAATTCCAGCTGCATTTTTAATTGTGTTGCCGTGATCCTGCACGTGCAGCATTGATGCGCTTGGTAAACTGACATGATTTGCAATTTTAAAACTTTTGCATTGGATTTAAGGTATATAAATATGAGTATTGCCAAAATCCGGCGGTAAGTTGATAGATTAGGCCGCGTGCTCCAAAGATAAATGTTTTCGACAAATAATTACGTTATTTGATTTTGGATGGATGATGGTAGTTGTTCAAATACAGGAGCCGTGGGAGAGAGTTATGCCGCTGTTGTCCTATGTCGGTGGCTAATGCGATAATTGAGGAGCAAGTAATGAAATCAATGGAAACATTAAATATAAGTTAACGGCCTACATAATTTCGAGCACAATAACATTGTTTGATTACTTTTTACATGTTACGAAGATATTTTAACACGGATTGTGACTAGTCTATTTCATTTAGTAGTGTCTCCCTGTGAGAGATTTTGTGACTAAACTTTTTTATATTTTACCAATGACCTGTCGGTCGAAACTTAAGGTTGTTGACCTCGCACTATAAAGTAAATTTATGACTTCATGTACAGATCATAATAATCATTAGATCTTTTAATTTTTTTCTTTATTTGTATTTGAATCTAAATTGTTTATTAATTTTCTTAACAGATATAAGCTCGATAAATAAAAAGAATGACGTTATGTTATTGTCAATAAACAAATCAAAAACAAATGAGGAACGAATCCCGGCATCGTGTCGTGGTGTCGGTGTCGTGTCGGCGTCGTTGGCAATAAGTGACACACGATTCAATAAAGAAAGGGATTTCCCGGAATCGGAAGCAAACAGTCGACTCTCCATTGAACCGAACGAAGCAATCATTTTTTCCATTGAGATGTGTTTTTCTTCATAACTCGATTTTTATTTGTTCAAGGTTAACATATAAAATAATTTTATACTAATTTATTACTTACATTGACCGCAATTATTTAACGACTACTTTTGCTACGAGTTTTATGTTAATTTAATGTATTGTTAAATCAACCATTGATTATGAAATATACATTTACCAAGTATAAATAAACAGACGAATGTCAATCATTAAAATAAAATGACTGACGGGAGCTCGAAAAATATTTTTCATTTATTTTAGTTGCCCTCGTCCAAATAAACAACAAAGGGACAAGATCTAATTGTCTTTTGGAATTTTATAAATATGTCGTCCAGATTCCAAACAGCTTATGAAATTTCTAATCTCCTCGTGAAATGAGCCGCCGCCGCCGCCTTCACTCGGTGCCAATAAAAATACCTCGGCATTGCGATTCAACGCTCCCCTGATACCTGATATACAATCAAACAATTTAATTTACTTCATAAAATTTATTATACCTAACGAGGAGTAAATTTATGTCACAAAATATACGCAATTTCTCTTAATCACAATACAAATTCACAGATTTCAAACAGTCTCTTTCATAAATTATATCTATTTACAATTATAACAATTTTCGAATAACTCGAAAGGCCGCGTCTCTCCATTGTCTTAGTATACAGTCGAGTTTCTCGAATAGAATCGTTACAAATAAGTTTTAATGGCGTTGTTGTTGTTTAAACAACAGATTAAACACGGCCTGTAATCATTTGAACTCTCTTTAAATATTACATCACTCAAAGTTTACAAGAAAATTCACAACCGTTGTGAAAATGTAGGATAAAAAGTGTCTTACAGTTTCTTTAAAATCAAAGATTCAGTCTTTATGTTAAACTATAAACGACCTTTATGTATGTCTCCATCTAATACTCGTATTCCCCAGCGCCTACACTTTCTGTATTAATATTACTCGTGTTGTCCGAAAATTTATTGGAATAATATTATCTCAAGAATACCGCGAAAGGTTTTGCACTTCGTAACTATCATTGTCACTAACAACGTCTATGTGCTCGCTGTCGTTGTCACAGGTCGCGTCCGAGGTCTTAGAGCTGCACGAGGTCTTGGTACAGCAGCACTTGTTGGTCCTGCCGTCGGAGCCGGCCGCCGGGCTCTCCTCCTTCTTCAGCTTCACTCGACGATTTTGGAACCATATCTTTACTTGTTTCTCGGAGAGCTTCAGCCTCGACGCGATCTCGATGCGTCTCAGTCTCGACAGGTACATGTTCATGGAGAATTCTCTTTCCAGTTCCAGCAGCTGTGTGCCGGTGAACGCGGTCCTGATCCTTTTACTGGAATCCTCCTTAAGCGGGAGCCGCTTCAAGTCCTTAGAGTATCCCGGGAGGAGCTCTTCGGGGTGAGCGAGTGGCGGGCTCGGCGTACCGTTGCGGCTGTCGCTCGACAGTGACGGTGATCGCTGCCCTTGGTTCTTTGTCGGCGACATCGCGGTGGATTTGTATGGATGGTGAAGATAGGGTGACACTGATTTTTTTCTTCTGCTCACAAAGTTGATCGGTTCCTGATCATCAGTTTTCCTGTAGGTTTCGGGCGCCAGAGCTTCGGCCTGGGGCTGCTCAAAGATCTCACGGTGGGGAGGCAGCTGGTGCAGCAGAGGATATCGGAAGTTGAGATGCTCCAAAAAGGGTCGGAACAGATCGGGCGCCCGGTTTTGTTGCTGCAGCCCGAGACTTAGCAAATTGTTCAAGTTCCCCGGGTAAGGGTACGGCATAAATTTGGGCTGAGCTAAGAAAGTGGCGTAAGGGTGCAGCGGGTCAGGGGACATATCGGGTTTCTTGCAGTCCTTGGGCGCGTCGCTGATCAAAGTGTCGACAAGGAATGATCGCGACATGTCGGCGCGGGTTCGGTCTGCGGTGTGCGGTGCGTTCGCTGCGGCCTCTGCTGGCCGACTGGTGACGAGGCCTCGAGGGGTGAGATCTTCTAAAAGTAACAATTACAAAAACTACCCCCACTTAGTGCACCCTATTGTAAACAAACACAATAGGCCTCACTCGAAGCGTTTTGGCAATTACGTGGCCCGTCCCACCCTTTTGTCGGCGAGCCGTCAGCCCCAGCGATGTTGCACAGAAAAAAAACTGTATTATTATGAATGGAACATTTTAGTAGCTATGAATAATTTTGTATAGGACGCTAACATCACCAATATCTATCTCATTAAATCCAATTTTCCCTTCAGTCACGCGCGCACTTCTTGAGATTTGTCTTTTCTGCTTACAAGTTTATTATGCCCAGAAAATATCAACTATGAAGATAGTTTTTTATTTAAAAGTGTAACTTTATAAAATACCTTAAGTTTAATTAAAAAAGACAAAAGAAAATCTGTCTTATCTAACGTTTCATTTAGAAGTTTATGAATCAGTACTCGGCACAAATATTTACTGAAGACTATAGAAGACTATTGTAGACTCATTTGTGAAACAAAACTCATTTAAGTAAATATGTCTAAATGTTATTTGCATAAACTTTGATATTTTCATTGGATTAACAATGAAATTCTCTAAATCACTGTAAGTGTATAAAGGCAAAGCATCAAAAGCTTTCGGTCGCGCTACAGCACTGCGTATTAATTAAGTATGAATACCCTATAATATGAGCCGTATGCTGCACGCGTGATCCTGATACTTGTAAAAGAAATCTCCGCGCATAGGGATAGGGTGTGTACTGGGTACTGGGTACTGGGTACTTGGTACTGGGTACATTAGCTCCGCCCCCTGCGAGCGGACCCTGCGGACCCGTTATGAAATATGAAAGGGTCCAAATGTTTGGTAGCAGTATAATTGTGAATCAATTTATGTTATTATCATGTCAGCATTAATTTGTAAGTAAGCCTTTCAACTGCGCCGAATGCTAAGTGTTTTGTTATGGTCTTTGTAATACATTTAATACTTTGGTTCGCGTCCCTTTATATGAAAATTAAAAATGTGTTTCAGTCTCACAGAGATGTTAATTTTTAGCAATGGTATATGTAAGTCTTATTTAGGACTACATTATGTAAATATCTTTTGTACGGCTCCGGAGTTGTACAATGTACGTCGGGTTTCAAAGTGCTTTATTTATATTCAAGTCTTTGGAAGTGAAAATACATCGCAATCGAATAAACTCTTTTGTGTCTTCGTTTATTTGAACGACTCGGCAAAGGATTGGGAAAATTCTTCATGAATTTGTTCCCAGTTTATATATCTTTAGGTACAATGAGTAAAATTGCCGTCTAAAACGGACGATTTCTAGGTTTAAACTGTGCGTCGCTATTTGTTTCAGTTGTATCTTTTAAAAATATTCTTTAAAGTTTACGCACTATGAATATTAAGAAAAATGTATTGCCGTTGTTCAAGATTCTCAGTTTATTGCATTAGAACGCGAAAATAATAAAAGAAGTTTAGCGGAATAAATAACATCGACGCACGAAAGAGTTGCTAATGTCTGTTTGTTTAAACACAACGGATCCGCTATCATTGTAGAAATCTGACAAACTCAAACATAATCACGAATTCGCGGCAACAAAGAGCGGATAACAATGTATCGCAAACATTGCCGCTTCACTACCCAACGTGGAAATCTGCAAATATCTACGTAGACTTTGTCTTTATAACAATAAGGTTGAGGATGGCGTCACAATAATAGACGCCCTCGCAAATCTGATGGTTGGAGAGATATAGATAAAGGGTTATGACGCAGGTCGCGTTTGGGGAATATTGTGTTATTGCACTGCGACGGGGCCGCTAGGGTCGTCAGGCCGTCAGGGCCGCCAGGTGAATAGACCACGCTTTATATCAGCTTTTTGTTAGATTTTATCCCAGTTTGCTACTATCTGTTTGCTTAATCTTATGAGTACAATTAAAACAGTTGAATAAAATCTTGAATTTAATATGATAGTTTACAATTGATAAGATTAATGTATGTTTTTACTAATTCCCAGTAAATGTGATATGAACACAAACATACAGAACTTTGGAAGCTCCTTTACAACTAGCATCGGTCATTCATCTCAAATACTCAACACACAAAAGTCAATTGCAAAAATCCAATAAAGAAACGGAAATGAGCTCGGAAAGGTAATTTAATGACCACCTGCGCCGTGCGACGGTGCTGTGGGGGTGAGCGGGGGACACGAGGAGCGCAGGGGCGGGGTCTGGACAATGGTTTCCTAGAAGATGTCATTTAAACGACGAAGCAATGTCGCCTGTCTGTCTGGTGTCGGCGGGACGCACTTGTCCACTTCATTCATAATTTCCACGTTCATTCATAAACTACGCCACCACTGAATGCTTGAATAGCGATAGCTTACAGAGTAGTGCGTGCAGTGCTTTGTTCATTTGTTCGTTACAATTGGATTTGGTGTCTCTGGACATTTCATTAATGAATAGAAGTAAATTTAAAATGCCTTAAGTTTTGTTCCGGTCTTTTTAATTGACTTTCAAGTATTTTTTTTGTGTTTATTTAATTCTAATGAGCTTCAAAGTAAATGAAATCTGGATGTATCCTTAATCCTATAGAGTTTGTATTTCTGATAGGCCTTAGTTTATCTACCTGTTTAGTCTGATAGTACTAAAATGGACCTACATTTATATTACCCATTATTTTTATATATTTTTTACGAAAAAACGAGTCTATAGTCATTTGTTTTTCGGTTGTAAATGTCTATCACCTGCCAGAGACACATTAAAAATTAAAAAAAAAAAACAGAATTTTAAAATATTCTCTTGAACTACACTGAAAATATAAAAATGACAAGTCATCACCGGTGTACTTTGTGCTTATAACATCAAAGCACGGCACTTAATGGATCGACCATCATCCAACCATCGACCCGGCCGTTGCAAGCTTCGCGCCAATTATAATTTATTAACTTTTAATTAATATTTATAGTTCAGCTTTATATTTTTTGCATAGATTTAGTCGTTAACCTAGCTTTTTTATATTAGTCTATATAATAGATATTTTAGTAATAAGCTTGTTAGAAATCTGAATGTTCTCTTCTATTATATTATATGAAAATTCTATCTTAAAATTTAGATTTTTAAATTATAACATGAATCATAAATACATATAACCTTAATATTTCAATTAAATCTTGGTATATTGTTATCTCTTTCTATCTCAATAGGGCAGAAATGAACAAATTACACTAATTTATTTTTCTTTTTTCATTAACGGTTGCAACCGTTGATTTGAGATTCGGTACACCGTCCAAATAGACCAGTAAAAGTTAATAAAGCATGTTAGGAAAGCTTTTAAGTCAGGGTTGTGTCTGCAACAAGTCGCACGTGCACTCTCCATTCGAAGGCTAATATTATTAGTGTGGAATAGACAAGCGTTTTAGTGAGGGTGGGAACCCTTTCATTTACTTTTTTTCCGTTCTAATTACAGGGCGCCGTGAAATTGACAATTTTCCTGCCGACACTTGCCAACGGATGTTTGCATTATTTATTATTGACTGGTATTTTATACAGCATAGGTATAGTTTATTGAGATATCCACAACACAAGTTACATTCGACAATAATGTCTTTGATTCTACTTAAAATCTCAGCGTATTAAAATTATTTTCATTATAATTACTAACATATGTTTTTGAATGTTGTAAGCGAATTAAAAGTTGAGAAGTGAACAGAGGAGTGGTTCAGAATTCCCATGACACGGCTCGTTCACAGTTCGGAGCGCCCCATGCATCAGAACAGTGTCCAATCAAGTTTTCTGTCAAATCAAGTGCCTTTTAAGGTATTGACAAATTGTCGAGTATATTGTTGCGTGGTACAAGTGAACAAGAGAAGCGTGTTTCGCTAGAAGTAACTCTGACGCTGAAACATACAGAAAAGAAAAGATAAACAATTACCGCGAAGGCGATTTTAATTAGTTTATTATAGTGTATTTTATATTAGCAAAAGATCACGTGTGGTGACAATCAGATGAGTTAGAGATGCGTGGTCATCACGCATATGTATGGCATAGGAGGAATATTTTAAGGAAGAAAGAACAAAGAAAACACAACCCAATTCGTTAGTCGCTTCTATCGTCAAACTGATATTATGCGTAAGAAAAGAAGCTATTGTACAACAGCTCCGTTAAACCCGCTGTCGCTGTCGCTTATGACTGGCGTCGAACAATCTTTTGCACAATGTCACCCTTACCACAAACACAATTCGGAATTGTATCGGCATTGTGTTTGACGCACAACACAAGAAACGCTTTTTCAGTCGCATTGTCACATTCGCTGGCGGTTTTTTTATTATTTTTTATAACTCCTTAAGCTTTGTCGACAATCCGTTCAGCAGGAGCTTTGTGCATTCATTCGGATCGAGTGCCGATTGTTTGATCCTTTAAGACTATTTATTCCTTCATTGTTTTCTTTTAATATTCTAATTGACATTTAGAATGTTGGTAATGTACACGGTTTAAACATTTTGTTATTGGGTTTATTTGTGACGTGTTTGTGTAAGAACTATAATTTAAATCAATAAGTGTACTGGGTATTTATGCATTTTTTAACAGGTAATAAATTTAAACGATTCATCGTTTAAAAGGAGACTAATATAAAAAATTCTGCTATGTATACAAAGAGCTTTATATTATAATTTTAACTTAACGCAAATAACAAAATCATTATGTTCTTGGTTTTTAGGTTTTTAAATCAACCTTCAAAACACATCAGTTTAATTTGTTTCTCGCAATATTAACAAAGTACAATAATAGTTGAAATACAATTAATCACTGGCAGATATAGTGAGTCTGTAACAAGCAGTATGACGATGCAGAGAGCAGCGTGAGGACTGCAGGGTGCAGGGAGACGAGTGCAGGGTGCAGTGTGCAGTGCAGAGAGACGAGTGTGCGAAACAAATTGTCCGCAGCGTGACACATCAGG